CCCGAGTGCCTCACCTCCTTGCTGCTCCGCCACCCCGGCTGGCCCGCTCGCTGCTCTCGGCCCCCCACCCGCTGCACCGGAGCATGCGCGAGGGCCCCAGCGCCAGCCGGCAGCGAGCAGCGGTGATAGCGACCCCTGCTGGCCACTGCGCGGAAAGGCCGCAACGCGCCGCGGCGGGGGCTGTCAGCACGGGGCGGAGAAATCGGGGTGAATTGGGGTCAGAAGCGCGTAGCGCATCGTACATGCCAAAGGGCCTGAGCCGGCCAGCCCTCCCCCCCCCCCCCGACTGCAGCGGCGGGGGTCGTAAGCAATAGCCCTGGTGCTCCCCCCTCAGCGCTGCTGGCTCTGGCGCGGTGTGACCCCACTTCTGCACCTAGACCGGCTTGGTGCCGATGCAGACCGGCTTGGTGCAGATGCAGTTGCAGCAGCGGGCGAATTCTGCGCACACGCTGAACTTTGCGCTCCAGTAGTTGAATTCCATGGATTCCACACACATGAAGTTAAGCACATGGGCAAGGGCTGACAGGATCCGGGCCAATACACCCAACCATGCTTGTATTGCAAATAACTCACATTGTTCAAAGGGATATAATTTAAGAATTAATGTTTGCTTGCCTGTTTTGTTACCACTTTGTATTTCAGTTTAGGTAATGACTCATCTTCTTTCTAAGCAATGTCATCTGCCCAACCCCAGTGGTGCAATCTGGAGAGCCCACACACTGAAAAGGATCATTTATTTTAAAAAATTGCTCCCAATGGAATTTTGAAACAGAATTTACACAACTACAAATGATGGGGGTAACTGCTCCCCAGGTGTTCTGTCACAGCCTTGCTCTCTCCACAGCAGGCATTACAATTGCCAGCAGAGCTCTCTTAAGACTGTAAAATATAGTGCTGCACCGATAGATTTTGTAAGGAGTGGAGTGATGCTTCCTGCTCAGAGTTCAAAACCACTAAGTCAAAATTGGCCATGAATCAATGTAGAATGAAATTCAATATTGCCAGCAATCAGAGAGGAGTGAGGTTCTGGAGCAGTCTTCTCCAGAAGTGGGTAAACAGCCTAACTAGTTTTAAACTAGCTCTTGATCCATGTAGGGATTATGAGAGGATGAGGCTTGAACTCCTTTCCAGTCCCATGTTCCTGAGTCAAAATTCCTAACCCTGCTGATTATTGTGACATTGGGCAAGTCATTTCTACACCTCACTTCCCCCATCTTTGAAAACAAGGGAACTACCCACCAGTTTCACTGGAGTGTTGTGAGGATAAACTAACTCTGATAAAATGCTCTGAGCCTTTTGAGAGAACAGCCCAAAGTCACATTAGTCCCACTTCAACAGAAACTCAGTATGTTCAAAACCGCAGCACAGAACACTGTGGCAAGTATTGTCCAAACAGGTGTCCAGGCAACATGACTCCAGAACCTATTACACACCTATCAGTGCAGAGATGAGTCATGCTTCACTTTGAGTGTGCTCACAGGTCTGTTCCAAAATGCCTTCCCTACGCAAAGAGAAGCCATTTCATGTTCTGGCTGCATTGCGAACATTGAAGCATCATGTTACAATCTTCACATTTTTGAAGCAATGTGATGAGGGCAACGTGTCAAACGTGTTAAGGAAGCACATTCTAGCGGGCTAGAATGTGGTTAGGACATGATCAGATGACTGCCTTTTTAAACAGATTTTGTAATGTCAATGAATTGTCAGAACATTTTGCCCTACGTGATCTAAAGCCATGGCAAGGTAAATGAAATATTGTGAGAAATGTTTCCTACTTAGGCAGAGAAAACCAGCATAAAATGTAAGCAGTTTGGGGCAGAAAATATTTTTGGTTTATGTTTGTACGGGGTGTAGCAAAACTAATAGAAAATCATATGCATGGAAGGAAACCGGGTTTAGAGACCATTTTAAACTTGTACACAATGAACAGTATAAACCCTAGGACACTGAAGTGATCTTCAACTTTTTCAGGTTTCTACAACAGTTCAGATCCGCAAGTAGACAGGGCCTTTCAGCCATGGGTACATCAGCTCCAAACCCTAATCATATTAGAGAACATCCCCTCCTCTCCGGCTATGAGAAGCTTAGTTCATGGATTACACATTTGGATAGTGTCTCAAACCTTGTCCCCATCACACAGTAGCCAGGTAGTAGGTACCTTTGAGATCCAAAAGGAAGTAAAAAGAGCTCAGATCACATTACTCATGGTTCAAGTCAATGCTTCTAAAATTCATCCCTCAGAACATTAGATTTAAAAATATCAAATAAGCAAAGCCTTGATGATCAAATGACAAGACACACTAGGTCAATTTTCTGGTAGATTTCACCTTGGACAATGTTACTTAGGTACCTATACAAAATATCCAGTTTATATTTCTGTCTATCCTAGCAGCTTGCCTATCTATAACTTAGAATCTATCTTTAGCCTTGAGTATAAGATGGGTATCTTACTAGAATTTTAGTTTGACTGCGTCCAGCTTTTGCTCACTTCAACTTCATTTATTTTGCCCTCCTTATATTGGGACTACATTTTTCTCTTTTTGTCACCATCATGAAAAATCCCTACTTTTTCTTACCCACACCACTAAAATTTCATGCTATTGAAATGTATTTTAAAGCTCTAGTATACCCAAGTTTCATGTCATAACTACTGTCACTTATGAGGCGGATGGAAATTAGTTTCCATGGCTTATACAATGTTTCGATGTTCCAATCCTCACCCAAACCAATTTCATTCAAGTCACATAATGCCATAAGTATTTATAAAAGAAAAGGTGAGTGATGTGATATCTTTTATTGGACCAACTTCTCTTGGTGAGAGATGAGCGTTTGAGCAATGCAGAGCTCTTCTTCAGTACACATAGCATTTTACAGAGAAATAAAAATGTAGGTCTAATAGCATTAGCAAAAATATTTCCATTAAGCATTTCATTTTTGTTTTGGATCTGATAACCTGTAAAAAGCTCACCCTGGGGCAATGTGATGGCTAGGAACTCTATTATGAAAGTTGTCAAGCAAGGCTGCTTCATAAACCCAACAATCATATCTGCTGGAATTTTTATCAAGAAGTTTGGCTTGAAGGAAGCCTTCAATTGGTCAAACAACAAATGGTCTGTTAGCACTTTATAGACTAATGAAACATGTAGATGGTATCACGAACTTTCGTGGGCACAACCCACTTCAGATGACTGGAGTTATGAGTTGGGGGATATGAAAACTCGAAATAAATAGATCTTTATGGCTGACCTTGAACAACGTTTCCTCAGCTCTCGCCCCCTAACACCTCTCTTTTACTTAACGCTACATCGATGACATCTTCATCATATGGACCCACGGAAAAGAGACTCTTGAAGGATTCCACAAGGATTTCTACAACTTCCACCCTACTATCAGCCTCAGCCTGGACCAATCCACAAGGGAAATCCACTTCCTGGACACTACAGTAGAGTTAAATAATGGACAAATTTCTACCACCCTATACTGGAAACCTACTGACTGCTACACTTACCTTCATGCTTCCAGCTTCCATCCCAGACACATATTTCAGTCGATTGTATACAGCCAAGCCCTACGATACAACCGGATTTGCTCCGACCCCACAGACAGAGACAATCACCTACAGGATCTTTACAGAGCATTCCTAAAATTGAAATACCCACCTGGGGAAGTGAAAAAACAAATTGACAGAGCCCAAAAAGTACCCAGACATGAACTACTTCAAGACAGACCCAAAAGAGAAAACAGAACTCCTCTAGTTGTTACCTACAGTCCACAACTCAGATCCCTCCAACGCATTACACGCAATCTACAACCCATCTTGGAAAATGATCCCTCACTCTCAGAGGCCTTCGGAGAAAAACGTATTCTTGCTTACAGACAACCCCCAACTTGAAACGTATTCTTTCTGATAACCATGCCACACAACCACATCATAAGCCTCCAGGAACCCAGCCCTGCAACCAAAAAAGATGCCAACTCTGCCCACGTATCTACATTGGTGAATTCATCACTGGAGCAAACAACATAAACCACAAAATCAAAGGGTCATTTGACTGTACATCCAGTAATTTGAGCTATGCCATCAAATGCCAGCAGTATATATATATATATATTGGACAAACTGGATGGTCTCTGCAGGAAAGAATCAATGGACACAGATCGGATATACGTAAAGCGAATATATTGAAGCCTGTTGGTGAGTATTTCAGCTTGCCTAATCACAGTCTGACAGACCTGCAAGTAGCTGTCTCATCACAAACCAGCTCTACAAGCCAAATACACAGAGAAGCCCTGGAATCCCAGTTCATCCACAAATTCAATTCACATGCTAATGGACTCAATCCTTATATGGGCTGGTGGGGACACTACCTACTTAACTACTGAAGGCCCTAACAGCTCCCTGAGTGGTAGATTCCTGTTTTAGGAATCTATCTACTTTGATTTTTATCTGCTTAGGTTTAATTATCCATTCACCAGATACTTAATGATGCTCTGTCTCCCATCCCCCTCCCTTTTTTCTTTCTCTCCCGCTCTCCTATTTATTTCGAGTTTTCTTATCCCCAACTCATAACTCTGGTCATCTGAAGAAGTGGGCTGTGCCCACAAAAGCTCATGATACCATCTACATGTTTCAGTCTATAAAGTGCTACCAGACCATTTGGTGTTTTTTCTGTAACAGACTAACTTGGCTACCCCCTGAAGCTCCAATTGGTCCAGTTAGTCCTGAAGAACAGTTGATATCACTGGAGATTAGAGGGTTAATTCCCCAGACACCCAAGGAGAATCTGAGTGCATACAGCGATTTGTATGAAATATGAGAAGTCATCAGATGTTCCTGAGTTTCACTCTGAGTGAATGGAACTTTTAGCCAGTGATGTCACTGAAGGACAGATCAAGATCCAAGCACCACCTTTTAAAAGCAATTCCACTATTAGTCATACAACTGAACCCCTCAGACAGTGTCTATAACATTCTCTATGAAGCAATATTACAGGCTTCCCTTAACACAATACATGTAGGACCTTCGATCTGAACTTCCCATCCACTTCCTACAATACAGGACGATCTGAATTAGAGAGCCCAACAGCCGATTGCAACATTTGTGTTTCTTTTCAGTAGAGATTTTAGGAATTCCGTAATCGTGTAGCTGTCAAATTTTGTCAGTTACATGATTAACTGATAAGCAGCTCTGCATTAAAGGAGCTTGCGGGCAGGCATGCTGGCTTAAGTTCAAACCAGGTCCTAGCAGCTACCCCTGCTGCAGCTCTGTATTTAAAGGAGCTTGATAGCCAGTGGGCAGGCACGCAGAGCTGGCGTGAGCTGGGACTGAGCCAGTTTGCCTGCAAGCCCGTTCCCAAAACCCCTTAAATGCAGGGCCCCAGGGGGAAGTGTTTCTAAGTAGCCAGTAGCATTAACTGAAAAGCATCTGCTTACAGGTTAATCATTTAAGGCTGTGTCTAGACTACACTTCTCCCGTGCTTAATTAGCATAAACATGGCCACCACTTTTTTCAAAATGGAGCTTTTTCAAAAAAACCCAGCAGTCTAGAAGCAGATCTATCGAAAATAAACCCTTTTTCGACAGATCCTCCTGCATTCCTCAAAAAATGAGGTTTACAGGATCTGTTGAAAAAGGGTTTATTTTCGACAGAGCTGCATCTAGACTGCCCTTTTTTTCCGAAAAAGCTCCATTTAAAAAAAAGCGGTGGCCAGGTTTATGCTAATGGGATATTTAAATCCTTGCTTCATTAGCAATTTCAACGTGCTTGTTTGCATCCCTCTGTCGACAGAGGGATGCAGTCTAGACGTAGCCCAACTGGCTACACTGTTACATCCCAATTTTCCATTTAACATCAATGACTTTTTTCCTGTCAACAAAAAAAATGGCTGTTGGTGACAAAAAAGTGAAAGCGTACACACTGCAATGCGACTGTTGTTGGGGAAAACACCCAGCTGGAGAGACTTTTTCTTTTCCTCTCCCTTTGTTGTCCACATAGAGCCAGTGTAGACACTGTTGTTTATTTTGTCCACAGAACCAATTTCTGCCAGTATCCCACTGGCTCTGCTCAGTATTTTGAGCTCTACTGCCTTGCAGGTATGTGCCTTTCCCCTTTCAAAGCTCCAACAAGTATCCGACAGCAGAACATACTGCTGTTTGGGGAACAAAGAGCAAAGCATTGGACAGCTCCTGTTCTGGCGTGCACTAGGAACAGAGCAGCAGAACCTTGTGGCGGGGACGGGGGACGACTGCTGTGCTGTTTTGAGATTCTTCAGCTCAGAGAGCTCACAGAACTACTCATGATGCCACTCTCTGGCAATTGAGATTGCGGGAGAACTCAGAGGAACTCTTGAGATGTGCAGGGCTTAGTTCTGCCTTCCTACAACCTGGCCCACTGGGATACATACTGTGACTGCGCAGTTGCGGTTCCCCCAATCCTGCATCCCTGTAGCAGCCAGAACAGTCTCCACCAGCCAGCAGGAGAGAGGGGTTTATTAATTTTCCAGAATACAGCACAGCATAGATGTGATGTGGCAATAGGAGGGGCGCTAGGATGCCCCAGACCCCTTAAGGCTGGGTGCCTGAGGCCAAAGTCTCCAAGCCCCCTACCTAGGCTGTCTCCATCATGTTTCCAGCCCCAGACTAACTCTTCCTCCCCCCACATACTTCCTTTGTTCCAACCTCCTTTCCTCCCCCCCGTCAGAATCCATCAGTAGTGTCTAGCCCCCGGCTGGGCCGTGCTCACAAACAGGGCCAGTAGGAGACAGCCCAAGCCTAGCAACCAGCAAGATGCCCCACTACATCACACATACCTACACTGCATTGCACATGTTGTCAAGCAGACAGGATTTGTTGACAGAGGGAGCAAATGTGAACACCCGCTGGCAATTTTTGTTTTGATGACTTCTGGTTGTTGACTCTTCCCCTACATATTGTGTTTGGGTCTGAAATATTTTTACCATAGTTTCAATTATTCTGCCTGGTACTGAAATTAGGCTTCCTGATCTGTAATTAACAACATCGCCTCCAGAGCTCTTTCAAAATAAGCTTCACATTTGCTACTCTCCAGTGATGTGGTACAAAGGTTGATTTTAGTGGTTACCTACCAGTTAACAGTTCTGCAGCTGCATATTGGAATTACTGCAGAACTCCTTGGGTGGATGGCATGTGGTCCTGATGACTTATTACCATCTTATTACCCCTCAAAGTTAGGACAGGTCCTCAGATATTACTTAAAAAGGAATGGCTGAGGTGCAGGGATTTCCCTTGTATCTTCTGCCAGGGAAAAGAAAATTGTTGAATTTCTCTGCAATGGTCTTCTAAGTACTCCTGTAGTGCTTCAGTCTTCCTGCCTCTAATGGATATGTTCACCATTTTCACTAAATGCTAAGCAGTTTCCATACTCATTAAAATATTCACATATGCAAAAACAAATCTCAATACCACACTAAAAGTTTTGCAATTAACAGTAAAAACCGCAGATAGTCCTGTTGAAAAATTTCCGCAAAAATGGTCTTACATTAGTCCTAGGATACTGAAACAAAATGGACAAGGATTTCTTAGACAACTTCTCTTTGTAAGCATTCGACCTATACTGACAAACAAAAAAGACCTCTGTATTGCTCATAAGTTTGTCACCCATGGAATTTAGGCCCAGAAAAGGCTACCTTGTCCCAAAAATAAGAAATCATTTAAGTACTAGTATTTCACAGCACCACTTAAATGTCATATAAGCTTTCAAGTGATAGAGGATGTGAGTGAGTACATTAAACTGCACAGATGTGCTCATTTTGCCCAAGGCATGAATTAAAAGCTAGGCTGTAATCAGTGGTTTAACACACACCTTGTGTAAACACTAGGGGTCAGTAAACTACGGCTTGCAAGGGAACCCAATATGGCTCTTTTGGCAGCTGCTGGGAATTCCCTCTAGGAGGCACACACAGAATTCTCTCACCCACCTCCTCATGCAGCAGCACTCACTTTCCTTGCACTTGCTCTAGCCCTGCACATGGGGCAGCTGCCCATACCATGGCCCCGCTCCGGAAGCAGCCATACAGCCCTAACCCCTACTCTCTGGGGGGATGCAAACCTAGCAGCTCCCACCCATTCCATGACATGCTGGGGGGCCGTAAATTGTGGTTTGGCAGCCTCATCTCCAAGACGCTGAAAGGCACAGCACCCCCCCCCAATTCCAGGAGACAAGGGGGCCCCCCAACCAGAAACCACAGCCCAATATCCTCCCCCCCCCCCAACCTCAGGACATACCAGAGGGTCTGGACAGTGCCATCTACCTCCAACTCCCTCAGATTGCAGTAGGGTCCAGAAACTGTACACCCCATACCCCCACAGAGCATCACCATCTTCACTGCCATGGGCAGCCCTTGTAAGCCCAACCCCAGATCCAACCTTCCACCCTGCAGCCCCCAACACTGCCATGAGCCACCCAACCAATGTCCAGACTCCTGCAGCCTGCATCCTCTGCCTTGAGTTCTCCCCCCCCACCCCCACGCCTTCATTCTTATACAGCGCTTTAGTTTGAAAAGACTGCCTACCTGATAGAGCATAAAAGATGTTGATTTGAAACTAAATAGAAAAAGCCTTTATGCCAGATTTGGTCCATAATTTTTGGCTAACTAAAGAGTACAGTATAATTAAACATGTATTTGAAGCCATTTTATAGCTTAATATTGAGATTTAATACCTTAGCATGTTAGAAAATGGTGATTATATTGCAGTGGAATGGGAACCAATTAACAAAACACAAAAAGCACATTAATTTAATGTTTATTAAGCAAAACAGACCCTTAATATAGTACATGACCTGCTATAGCATATTTATAAAGCTTGACCTCAGAAGTAATATTTCTCCTTCCCTCAAGTTCAATAATTTACAAGATCACCTTCCATGAAGAATGGGACAAGATCTTTTTTGACGGTCATGGAACACTGAAAACCTATCACCACCTGCCAGGAGATTCCACTGTTGTAGTCTGGAGCCCAACAGCTCTGCCTTATTCTTGTGTAGTTCTAAATCCCACACAAGGTCATTCAGTTCACCTTGTGTTATGAGGTGTGGTTCAGAGGAGGATGGGAGAAAATGTGGGTCTTGTGACATTGATGGTTCAGGACCAGAAGTTTCATCCTCTTCCTCTTCTAACTCAAGTGAGAATGATTCTGGTGCATCAGGAACCAGCAGTCCTTCTCCATGGGGTACTGGGCGTCTAGCTGATGGAATGTTTGGATAATGCACAGTCCACTTTTTCTTCTTTGACACACCTTTCCCAACTGGAGGCACCATGCAGAAGTAACAATTGCTGGTATGATCTGTTGGCTCTCTCCAAATCATTGGCACTGCAAAAGGCATAGATTTCCTTTTCCTGTTCAACCACTGGCGAAGATTTGTTGCACAAGTGTTGCAGCATATGTGTGGGGCCCACCTCTTGTCCTGATCTCCAATTTTGCAGCCAAAATAAAGGCGATACGCTTTCTTAACTAGTGTGGTTATACTGCGCTTTTGTGATACAAAAGTCACTTCACCACAAACATAGCAGAAGTTATCTGCACTGTTCACACAAGCAGGAGGCATCTCTGCTCACTTTGGCTAAACAGAAATATGTCCCTTTGCAAAATCAAGCACTGACATACAAGAGAGCACGACACTATATGATTTCTAGAGCTGATATAGGGCAATTTGTTCAGTAGAGTGATGTAAGCTTCGTTATGATTGCATCATCCACGACTTTTAGGAATAACATGATGCAATTCATATCATGTATGATGCAATACCAGCTACAGATTGCATCATTCATGGTTTTGCCTAAAAGCAAGTACTGTCCAAACCCAGTCACATTTATTCATAGATCCAGTCAAAGATGTCTTTTAGTCATTTCTGGTTTAAATTGAGATCCCTTCCCCTTATAATTCACTTATCCTCTGCCATTGGCAAGTCAAAGGTCGTATATACTGACCCAATAGCATATCTTAAAAACTAGAGCCAATCAACAATTTTAAGCATCATTTTCGTTCTCAGTGACCCAGAATTAGTAAAGTTTGACTACATTTATTTCAGAAGCATTTTGGCTGTAGAGCAGTGTTTATCCAGCTACTTCTTCATTTTACCTGGAAAAAGAATAAAACCAAGTGTCAGAGGTTTGTTTTAATGGGATTTTTCAAGGTATTTTAGTCAAGAGTCCTGGATTCCATTCCCACTTTTGGCAGACTTCATCTGTAACTAAGGCCACCTTGCTATGCTTTAAGTTTCCCCTTCCAATAGTATCAGGCTAATCTATTTTTCAGAGATTGTAGCAAGGCTTAATTTAAAAATACATGTTGGAAGTGCAAATGGTTTCCAAAAAGGCAAGGCCATATTGTATGGATTTCATTCCCTAGTTTCAATACAAAGTAGAATATGCAGATGGCCTCATGCCCCCGCCCACTATTTCATGGGCTTTTAAGATTTTCTGTGCCTCAGAATGTGTGTCTTCCACCATTTTCTACAGAACCAGCCAGCTCTAGTTTCCCAAACTTCCAATAGAGAATAGTCCCAAAAGTTTGACAGGTTCTTTGTCATAATTTACTATGAGTAAAATGCAATCTGCATCGGAGGATCACTCCCCCACAACACAAATGCCCTAGAAGCAGCAGTTTACTTAAGTGTGTCCGAACACTCATATCCATAACCTTGGTACTAAAGAAGCTACCTCACTGATTAAATGTTTCCTGCATGGTTTATCTCCTCAGTCACAGTCCGAAGACTCAGAGAAGCAGTAGGAATATGCAGGCTGCAGACCAGAGGCCCGGCTTGTTCTCCAACGGCGTGGAAAGGGACTATACGTCATGGAGCCCGAAGGCCTCTACGCTCCCATACGCCACATGGACAGAGCCAAGAGAGAGCAACTTCTCTGGATATCCACGTTGGATTGAAATGCCAATGTACTCTACTCCCATTTACAACTTAACCATCCACCCAATTAGCCTTGCATGCACTAAAACTTGACCTTTATCAAAATGATTTTGTAATGATAAAAAAAAAATCTGTCCGTTAGTAAAAAGGAAACAGAACCACACCACCATAGATTCTAAATTTCAATTATTAGATTAGACTACACGATAAGAACACTGTTGTGGACACTAAGACTTCAAATATAACAACATTCCAGGCTCCCAAAAGCCTCATCCTGTAGCCAGACAAGCCTACAGATCTATTCTGAGAAAGGATCACCACCTATGCTTTCTGACAGGGTAGTTAGTTCATGTTTAGTTACAATGTGGAGCTTTGCTCTCCTTGCCAAGAAGTGCTACACTTCCAGGATTGGATGTTGTTTTGGCTGAACTGGGCTACACTGCAGAGCTAGCCCAAGCGTGCAAGAAAACAGTATCAGTGAGTGAAAGGATAAGTTTATCAACTCACTGAACGTATAAATGATGCAGGTACTCACCTTATGGGCAGGAGTGCAATGCTGCTGCTGCTGGCAAACCTGCAGACAGGACAAGCAAAGAGCAGTTAGAAGAGGGGATCCCTGCGTCCTCTCCCCAATGGCGTTTGCCAGCAGGGCCCCTAGGAGCTCCGCCGAGGCCGTGTCTCCTGCATGGTTTATCTCCTCAGTCAGGGTCCGAGGACTCAGAGAAGCAGTAGGAATATGCAGGCTGCAGACCAGGGGCCCGGCTTGTTCTCCAACGGCGTGGAAGGGGACTGTACGTCACGGAGCCCGCAGGCCTCGACGCTCCCATACGCCACATGGGCAGAGCCAGGAGAGAGCAACTTCTCCGGGTGCCCCCTGTCTCCTGCATGGTTTATCTCCTCAGTCAGGGTCCGAGGACTCAGAGAAGCAGTAGGAATATGCAGGCTGCAGACCAGGGGCCCGGCTTGTTCTCCAACGGCGTGGAAGGGGACTGTACGTCACGGAGCCCGCAGGCCTCGACGCTCCCATACGCCACATGGGCAGAGCCAGGAGAGAGCAACTTCTCCGGGTGCCCCCGTCGGGTGCGGCTGCAGCGGGGACCCCGGGCTGGCTGCTCAGGGGCGGGGCAGCCCCCCCCCGCGTGCAGAGAGCGGTGACCCTGCCCCCCCCCACGCGGGGGA